GGTTTCTCTCTTTGCTTAAAGGATCCTCTTTAATATTTCTTGCAGGGCTGCTTTAGTGATCACAAATTCTTTCAGTTTCTGTTTGTCCTGGAAGCTCTTTACCTCTCCTTCTAAAGTGTTCTTGACTGCATATTTTTCTCATTTAGCACCCTGAATATATCATGCCAGTCCTTTCTGGCATGCTAGGTCTCTGTGGATAGGTTTGCTGCCAGTCTAATATTTCTACCCTTGTAGGTTATGGACCTCTTGCCCTGAGCTGCTTTCAGGATTTTCTCTTTTGTCTCTGAAATTTGCAAGCTTTACTATTATATGTCAAGGTGTAGACCTGTTTTTTTTTTTTTAAGATTTTATTTATTTATTTGAGAGAGAGAGACAGAGAGAGAGCACATGAGAGGGGAAGGGTTGGGAGGGTCAGAGGGAGAAGCAGACTCCCTGCCGAACAGGGAGCCCGATGCGGGACTTGATCCAGGGACTCCAGGATCATGACCTAAGCCGAAGGCAGTCGCTTAACCAACTGAGCCACCCAGGCGCCCCGGTGTAGACCTATTTTTATTGATTTTGAGGGGGGTACTCTCTGTCTCCTGGACTTGAATGCCTATTTCTTTCCCTAGTTTAGGGAAGTTCTCAGCTATAATTTGCTCAAATATACCTTCTGCTCCCCCCTTCTCTTCTTCTGGGATCTCAATTATTCTAATGTGTCACTTTATGGTATCACTTATCTCTCAAATTGTCCCCTTGTGATCCAGTAGTTATTTATCTTTTTCTCAGCTTCTTTATTCTCCATCATTTTGTCTTCTATATCATTAATTCTCTCTTCTGCCTCATCTTAGCAGTTAGAGCCTCCATTTTTTATTGCATCTCATTAATAGCCTTTTTTATTTTGACTTGATTAGATTTTAGTTCTTTTATTACTCCAGAAAGGGATTCTGTAGTGTCTTCTATGCTTTTTTCAAGCCAACTAGTATCTTTATAATTGTTATTCTGAACTCTAGTTCCAACATCTTACTTATATCCATCCTTTTTAGGTCCCTGGCAGTCAGTACTGCCTCGTGTTCTTTTTGAGATGAGTTTTTCTGTCTTGTCATTCTATCCAGAGAAGAATAGATGAATTAGAGCATAAAATACTAAAATAGCAACAATGACCCCAGAGAAATATACACTAAAGAAATCAGAAGAGACCTGAAACCGAAAAAAAAAACCCAAAAAACAAACAAAAAAAAACTATAACCAGGTGAATGGAACAGAGCAATACATTAGATCCTGTGTTTATTTTGGTCTGTTTGTTAGAAGAAACTTTACATCCCAAAATTGTAAAGAAAGAAAAACTTATATATACAAAAATAAGATTAAATATAATGAAAGGATAGAATATAACTGTAAAAATGCAAACTAAAAAGAACTTAAAATAGAGTTGATAAAATAAGCAATTGGTTGAAAAGGAAAAAGAAAAAAGAAAAAAAATGAAAATTGAAAGATTAAAGAATCATGAGGAAAAAAACCATGAATTCTATATACTACTTTCCTCTAGCACTGGAGTTTTGCAGTTCTGTGTGATCAGTAAACTTGGTATTAGCCGGATGTTCTTGCTTATCTTCCAAGGGAACTGTTGTGCTGATTCTTGGTTGTCTTTGCCCAGGTGGAATTGCACCGCCCTTGCCAGGGGGCTGGGCTAAATGTAAGTGGCTCGGGATTAATCTATGTGGCTTTTGTTCCCTGAAGGCTTTCAGTGCCGCTCTAGAGGATGAGAATGAAAATGGAGGCCTCCCAGTATCTAGCCCTGGAGCCAAAAGCTCATGCCCCACAATCCTCAGTGCACCCTCAGGGAATAGCAATCACTCTTGTCTCCCTGGTCTCCATCTGTACTCTGTGCTCACCCAACCTGGGACCACGCATTTCTATCTCAGGCACACAACCCCACTTCCAGTCTCCAAACCCTACAGACTCCTGGGGTGCACACCCATGCCACTCCTCCCGGTAGAGGGAGGGGGATCTTCCCGAGGTTCTGCCATTTGCTAGACCCTAGCTCAGAGAGCAGTGACCCGACCATGCTGCAGTTTATGGTTGTATGGCAATACCAGCTGAAAGCCCATTCCTGGACTCACTGGTAGTAGCTTTCCTGTTCCGATGCCTGGGAACCCTGCTGCACTCAGGCACCCCTGTTCTTTCTGTGACCCCAGGGATCCTGAGACAACACTGTCTCACCTAGGATTCTGCCCTGCTTCACCACCCAAGCACCTTTCAGGCAGGGACATTCCCCATGGGAGCAGACTTCTAAAAGTTCCAATTTTGCACTCTGCTGCTCTATCACTTTCCGGTAGCTAGCTTGCAGAGGCTCCCTCCCCCCATGGCTTATCTTCCGATATATCCCCTCAGATTCACTTCTCCATACCTCCTACCTTGCAAAAAGTGGTCGTTTTTCTATTTGTAGAATTGCAGCAATTCTTTTCTTAGATCTCTGGTTGAGTTCACTGATGTTCAGAATGATTTGCTAACTGTCTAGCTGAATCCCAGGGACCAGACAAAACTAATGTCCCCTACACCTCTGCCATCTTCCTCCTTCGAATCCCAGTGTGTCATTCAAAGCCACTGTTTCCTTGTTGATTTTGTTTAGATGGTCTATCCATTGATGTAAGTGGGGTGTTAAAGTCCCCTACTATTATTGTATTACTATCAATTACTTCCTTTATGCTATTAACTGCTTTAAGTATTTGAGTGCTCCCATGTTGAGTGCATAAAGATTCACAATTGTTGTATCATCTTGTTAGATTGTCCCCTTAATGATTATATAGTATCCTTATTTTTCTCTTGTTATAGTCTTTGTTTCACAGTCTATTTTGTCTGATAAAAGTATTGCTACCCAGGCTTTCTTTTGACATCCATGTGCATGATCAATGTTTCTCCATCCCCTCACTTCCAGCTGCATGTGTTTGTAGGTCTGAAATGAGTCTCTTTTAGGCAGCATATAGATTTTTCTTTTTAATCCATTTCTTCACCCTGTGTCTTTTGATTGGAGTGTTTAGTCCATTAACATTCAAAGTAATTATCGATAGGTATGTATTTATTTTCTTCTTACTTGTTTTGTGGTTGTTTTTGTAGTTTTGAAGTTTTTATAGTTCTTCTCTGATCCCTTCTTCTCTTACTCTCTTCTCTCACCGTAAGTTGGCTTTCTTTAGTGATGTACTTAGATTCCTTTCTCTTTATTTTTTTTTGCAAATCTGTTACTGGTTTTTGATTTGTGGCTACTATTAGGTTTGTATATAACGTCTTCTTCATATAGTGGTCTATATTAAGTTGATGGTCACTTTCATTTGAACTCATTCTTTACTCCTCCCCACATTTTAGGTATATGGTTGTCACACTTTACATCCTTTTATTTTGCAACTCCCTTGACTGAGTTTTACAGATCTACTTATTTTTACTGCTTTTGTGCTTCCTACTTTTTTTACTCTTTCCTTTCCACTCAGAGAGTTCCCTTAACATTTCTTGTAGGGCTGGTTTAGTTGTCATGACATGAACCACTAAATGATTTAATGTTGCAAAATGCCTGTTCTGCATGGGTGTTGTTTATAACAGTATTGAGAAAAAAATTTATTTCGGGTGCCTGGGTGGCTCAGTTGGTTAAGCGACTGCCTTCGGCTCAGGTCATGATCCTGGAGTCCTGGGATCGAGTCCCACGTTGGGCTCCCTGCTCGGCAGGGAGCCTGCTTCTCCCTCTGACCCTCTTCCCTCTCGTGATATCTCTCATTTTCTCCCGCTCAAATAAATAAATGAAATCTTAAGAAAAAAATTTATTTCTATAATTTTTATTAATACTTCCTTATTTTCCTATTGCTATTCTTGATTTGAAATTTTGTGTTGAAACTTATTTATTCATCAGATAATGGTACAGATCATTTGGTTTTACAATATACCATATGTGCTTTAGCATTTTTTTTTTTAAGATTTATTTATTTTAGAGAGACAGCATGAGAGAGAGCGAGTGGGGGTGGGCAGAGGGAGAGAATCTTCAAGCAGACTCCCCACTGAGCACAGAGCCTGATGTGGGGCTCAATCCCACACCCCATGAGATCATGACCTTTACCAAAACCAGGAGTCAGATGCTTAACTGGCTAAGCCCCTGCTTTAGCACTCATTAATTCACATATGTAGTATATACATACAGTATTTTTCCTCTTCCAATAATAGGCAGCTGTGTGTTTACTGACAGCTGTCGGTGCTGTGGAGTTTTGATGGAACCATCCCTTTTTTAGGGCTAACCTAAGTTTCCACAAAGTGTTTTGGTCATAGATTTTTTTGAAATTAGGCTTCCCCCAGATTAACTTGACTTCTATGTAATCACCCTTTCTTTATTAAAAAATCCTATTTCGTTTGTGTTTCTAGAAGTTGAAGATCATGGTTGAGAAGTTGCTTAAGTCTGTTCAATATAAGTATTACTCTTGGTGAAATACTGTTTTTTAATATGAAATATTTATATTTAGCAGCTATAATAGGAAACTGATGGTTCTTTATATCTTATAGCTATCTCTCCTATGCTCGTCATCAAGAAATCACCACCACAAGAGAACAATAATATAGGAGAAGTCTTCCAAACAGTGATGTGGGAAAGGCATGCTGGCCATGACATTAAAGATTTTTGCATCAGGGTAATCCAGGAAAACATGCATGACTTTGAGTGTCATTGGAGAGATGAAAGAAATTACAAAGGATTTCCTGTGAGTTATAAAAATAATCTCAGTGGTAGAAGAGATCAACCTGGGAGAAGGGATATAGGAAATAGGCTTGGATTAAGGTTACAGGATGAACTGCACATATGTCAAACCAAAGGGAGAACTTACAAATGTAATCAAGTTGAGAAGTCTGTCAACAATGGTTCCTCAGTTTTACCACTTCAAAGAATTCCTTCTAGTGTCCAAACCAATATTTCTAATAAAGATGGGAGTGATTTTATGTATCCTTCAAGACTGACACAAGACCAGGAAGCAAAAAAGGAAAAACTTTACAAATGTAATGAGTGTGGCAAAGCCTATTATCAAGTCTCACACCTCAGTAGACATCAGATGATTCGTACTGGAGAGAGACCTTACAAATGCAATGACTGTGGTAAGGTCTTCAGTGAAAATTCGCATCTGGCAAGTCATCAGGGAGTTCATTCTGGTGGGAAACCTTATTAATGTAATGAGTGTGGCAAAACCTTTACAGTGCATTCAAGCCTTAATAACCACCATACAGTACATACTGTATGTAATGAATGTGGTAAGGTCTTCGGTCACAGTTCATACCCTGCACATGATCGCAGAATTCATACTGAAGGGAAACTTTACAAATGTAGTAAGTGTAATAAAGTCTTTAGTCAACAGTTAAGCCTTGTACGTCATGAGAGATTTCATAATGTTAAACTTTACAAGTGTAATGACTGCGGCAAAGCCTATTCTTATTGCTCACAACTCGCTAACCATCAGGTAATGCATACTGGAGAGAAACCTTATAAATGTAATGAGTGTGGCAAAGCCTTCAGTCAACATTCAAGCCTCGCAAGTCATCAGAGAATGCATACTGTTAATAAAATTTACACATGTAATGACTGTGGCAAAGCCTTTTCTTGCTGCTCAGAACTCACTAACCATCAGGTAATACACACTGGAGAGAAACGTTATAAATGTAGTAAGTGTGGCAAAACCTTTACTTGGTTCTCAGCGCTCACTAGACGTCAGATAATTCATACTGGAGAGAAACCTTATAAATGTAATGAATGTGGCAAAGCCTTTACTCGGGGATCACATCTCAGTAGACATCAGATGATTCATACTGGAGAGAAACCTTACAAATGCAATGAATGTGGCAAAGCCTTTATTGGGAAATCACAGCTCACTAGACATCAGGTGATTCATACTGGAGAGAAACATAAATGTAATGAACGTACCAGTGTCTTCAGTCAGAATCCACGCCCTGCAAGTCATCAGAGAATTCAGCCTACCAAGTAAGCTTATAAATGTTAATAACTGTAGAAAACCTTCAACATGAGGGCAAGCATGAATTGACACCAGAGAGTCCATACTAAACAGAAATTATAAAAATGTATCAGAGGCTATACCTGGTCCTCACAAGTCCCTAGACATTAGAATATGCATCTTTGACGAAACCACATAAATGTAACGTGCATGCCGAGTCTTTACCCAAAGATCAAAACTAAAACATTAGGATTTATATTGGAGAGCGGTCTTGCAAAGGTAGTTTGTAGTAAGGCTTTGTTTCAAACATGCATGCCTTTGGTATCAGAGAATCATACCAGAGAGGAACCATACAACTGTACTGAACTGGAAAGGTTTTGGGTCCTGAGGATTGACCAAAGAATTCATACTAGAAAGAAACCTTACAAATAAAATGAACATGTTAATTTTATTTTCACAACAGACTCCACATCAAAATATTTATACAAAGAATAACTGAAGTCTCTATTCTCTTAAGATTAATCTGAGACATCACATACTGCAGAATAAATACAAGTCAAAATGTTAAAATTCACGACATGATATGCATCAAAAGAACAAATATGTGCAAATGCCCAGTTCTCTTAATTTTACAAGGTATTTTATTCAGTCATTTGAGATTTCTTTAGAAGGCTGCTTCATTATCTATGAGTCTCAACCTGACATTTGGAATCTCTTGATAGGCTTCCCTTACTGGCCTTTCATCATGGTCTCTGGGAAGGAATCACAAAGATGGAAGATACTACTTCATTAGCTGAGGTTCATTCATATTTATGTTCCCTGTTAGAACAAGGATTTTTCCTTTTAAAATTCAATATTATTTGAATTAGGGAGGATGTGGGAGAATACCATAGTAAAATGATGCTATAAGTCATCGTGCTTATTGTACTCAGGGGTGCCCTTCTCTAGACAGGCTCACTGTGGTTTATAGGAAAGGAATGTTCTACCAAATGACCATGAAATAAAGCAGGCCAAGACATTAAGAGATTGGGATTTATATGGAAGGATAGGAATAGGTTACTGATTAGTAATAATAGAAATAATACAGGAGACATAGTGGCTACGTTCTTTGGATGGTAATAGCGGTTTATTTCAAAGATTAATGAAAATTAGTCTTATTTTTGACAGTTGAAGAGAGAACAGTTACCAGGAGAGTTAATCAAAAGAACCAGTATAGTTTATGCATGTATATGATTCACATTTAAGTGCTGGTATAACTTTTGCTACTTTCCCCCCCACCTTTATTGAAGTATAGTTGTCAAATAAAATTGTATGATACTTAAAGTGTACATTGTGATGATCTGATATACATATACATTGTAAAAGGATTTTCCCCATGTTGTCACAGCTATCACTTCACATATTTATCTTTTGTGTGTGAGAACATTTAAGTTCTCTCATAGATTTCAATTATACAATAGAATGTAGTTGCCATGTTCTACATTAGCTCCTTAGTCCTTATTGGTCTTGGAACTGAAAGCTTGTACCCTTTAACCAAACTCTCCATGTTTCCCCAAACTCCCAGCCCTGGGAACCACTTTTCTAGTGTTTTTATGAGTTTGATTTAATTAACTGATTTTTTTTTTAAGTTTATTTTTTTTAGTACTCTACACCCAACCTGGGGCTCAAACTCATGACCCCTGAGATCAAGAGTTGTATGCTTTACAGATTGAGCCAGCTAGGCCCCCCTGATTGATTTCTTTATAAATCAGTGCATTTGAAGGAGCAGTCACCTCTTTCAGACTTTGCAGACCAGTTTTGGCAAGCAAAATCCCTCTCCAGCTAGGTCCTCAAACTAATGGGGTTGCCTCTGGGATCATATGACAGTGGCCTGAAGCCAGGTCACATGGCTCCTGCCTCATCCCCTCTAAAGGCGAGGGGAGGGGGGCATAGTCACTGCATCTTTTAAAAATGGGATGATATATCTTCTTCTATTCATATGTGTGCTATGTCAGGACATTCTGCTCAATTTTACCTGAAAATATTTTAAATCTGCTAATTTCCCTATCTAAACATTATATTTTGATTGACTGCCAGTTCTCTATGGATGAAATCTTCAATATGTAGGGATGAGGGAAAACATATTTGTAGTAGATGTTAACTAACAGATACTGCCAGAAAAATAATTCAGGGTAGAAATAAATTTATTGGATATTTGATAATCTAATTTTACTTTCCTTAGGGTTCATATTAAAGAGCATACACTTCCCTACTGAATGCCCTTAGAAATATTGCAAAATTGATTATTCTTTAAGTGAAAAGAAGTTCCAATGTCTTTCAAAGACTACATATTTTATAGGCTTTGTAAGTATTCAGGAAGAAAAGCTAAAATATATTACAATTTGTAAACAAAAAATTTCAGAATTGATGTATAGTGATTTTAAAATTATATTTAGATATTAAGTATATTATGATGTAGACAAGTTAATCTCAGGTATTTGAAGGTAATTCATCTCAAGTGTGTAGCAGAATAATTATAACAAACATTAGAAATTATATTAGGCAATTTATAACAAAATTTTTTAAAAGTTACTGTTGTTGGGGTGCCTGAAGGCTCCGTCGGTTGAGCATCTGACTCTTGATTTCCGCTCAGGTCGTGATCTTGGGTTCTGACATCTAGACCCACCTCGGGCTCTGCGCAGGGCATGAGCCTGCTTGAGATTCTCTCTCCCTTTGCCTCAACCCCCACTCGCAATTTCTCTCACTCACACACAAAAAGAAACAAACTTTTTTTTTTTTAATTTCCTGGGTTTTTTTTAAGATTTTATTTATTTGACAGCGAGAGAGGGAACACAAGCAGCGGGAGTGGGAGAGGGAGAAGCAGGCTTCCCGCGGAGCAGGGAGCCCGATGCGGGGCTCGATCCCAGGACCCTGGGATCATGACCCGAGCTGAAGGCAGACGCTTAACGACTGAGCCACCCAGGTGCCCCTAATTTCCTGTTGTTTTTAAAGCAGTGGTTGGTAACCCAAATTATCATCTGCCTTAGCCCTCCACGCCTCATAGCCCAGGTCTCCTCCCTATGAAAGTCTTCAGAACTGAGCTCAGTGTGGAGTTTAGCTTCCAGGGTGAATGGGGACTAGAAAAAGAAACACTATTTTGTTGGGTGTCAGTATAGCATTGCCCTTTCTCTCCAGGGGGAGCTTTGTATTTCACATTCTAATTTGTAATCCCTACACAGACAGCTCCAGCTGTGTAATTAAACTTTTTTTTTAAAAAGATTTTATTGATTTGACAGAGACACAGCGAGATAGGGAACACAAGCAGGGGGAGTGGGAGACGGAGAAGCAGGCTCCCCACTAAGCAAGGAGCCCAATGCGGGGCTCGATCCCAGGACCCCGGGGATCATGACCTGAGCCGAAGGCAGCCGCTTAACGACTGAGCCACCCAGGCGCTCCATGTGTAATTAAACTCTTAAATTGATTCTAACTGTAGGAAAATGTTCCTGGACCCACCACGTCCCCACAACCACCGAGATCCCAGTTCCCTGACCCCCGAATTACTTCAGCTTCACGAGATTTTACCTTAAAATTGTTAGAGATAGTGAAATAAGCAGGAAGCAAGGCGGCTCCTGAAGACAGGAAAGAATCCTTTTTACCTCCGGAAGAGACACCTTGGGAGCGGCTGGAGTGCCACCCGCTCTCTCGCGGAACGTGCGCCAGCCTCCCAACTCCGCGCCCCGGCCACGCCTTCTGACGGTCGCGCCCCCGAGGCCCCGCCCCCGTCTCGCCCCGTCCTCTCGAGGTACCTGCGCAAGCCTCGCCTCTCCGTGCGACGGCCCACCTGCGTGTCCGCTTCCTCGCGCCCAGTGTTGGCCTCGCCTGTCCGCGCCCCGCCCCTTGACGGTTGCGTGCCGCCTAGGCCCCGCCCCCGCGATTCTTGCGTAGGCCCCGCCTCCCTCTGCGCCCCGCCCCTCCTCTTAACTGTGCGCGAGCAAGTTCCTGTAGACCCGGAAACGGATAGCGCGGAGCAATGGTCTCGCTGCGCAGCGTGAGTTTCTGGTCTTCGCAGTCCCCTGTCCTCCATAGACGGGCTGTGGGGGTCGCTACGGGCCTTAAAATCCCCGCACCCGCTCCTGCAGCCAAGTAAATGCAGACGTCGCGGTGGGAGGCCGGGCGCGCGTCCCTTTGGGTTTAAACTCGCAGCCAGGCTGGTCCCTGCCCTCGGCACTTGCGTGTTGGGTCCACGCAGACGCCGGCTTCCCCGTCCGCGTCCTGCTTGGAGCCGTCTTCGGACCCCGGCGCCCGCCCCGCGCCCTGTAGAGCCCTCTTCCGCGAGGTGGATTTATGCCCTTGGCGCCCCCCAGCCCCCCAGCCTCGCGGTCTCGGCCCGGCCGGCAGCCCCTGCAGCCCCCTCAGGGGAGGGAGAGGCCGCGTCCTCCTCCGGGTCCTGGGATTCTGGAGAGCTCAGCCCGCTTCTAGAAGAGCGCCCCTCTGAGCAGCTCCCCAGGCTCCTCTCCCTGGTCCCCTCTTCCCCTGACCCCGCAGTGCGGTGGGTGACCTGGGCCTGCCTAGTGACACTCGGTGTTCTGTCCCCAATTCCTCCCGCCCGGATAGTGCGCTCTTGTGGGAGGCGAGCGTCTTGTTCCATCCCACACCTACTTAATGTGTGGTCGAGGGAGATTGGTAGAAAGACTGCGACTGGAAGAAAACGTAGAGGATGGGTGAGGGACTTGCAAAGAGACAGTAGGAGAATAAGCTGAGAAAGCAGGTGGAAAAAAGAGAGAAGTTAGAGGAAAGCGGGATCTCCAGGGAGGTGAAGGAGAGCAACGTAGAAAGGCCCTTGTTCAGGGGCAGGGCCGGAGGCGACATTGGTGAGGGAATTCAGATGGAGGGCTGGGGGAGAGGACAAAAGAGTTAAAGCCTTGGCCGTCTGAGCAACGTGCAGCTGAGACAGAGGAAACAGGTGACAAGGAAAGCAGAGGAAGAAACAGACCAGAATGGGAGTATAGCTACCTGGGGGTGCCAGAGAGTGGGGACCAAGGGAATATAAGGGAAAGAAGAGAGGAATGTAAGGAAGAGCAGGAAAGGAGCCCAGATGGGAGAAGAAAGGGGAGAAATCATGGAGACTGGGGATAATCAGAAAGATTGGGGAGAAATAGGAACTAGAAGAGAAACAAGTTGCAGAGTGGGGCACGACAGGTGTGAGAGAAGGGATCCAGAGCAGGACAGACAGCAAGACAGGAGGGGGGAACAATGAGCAGAAACCCATGGGGAATACAGAAAAGAAAAAAACGATCAATGCAGAGGTAGATAGAATGAGAGAGGAAAACACATTGTAGCCAAAAAAGAGGGTGGACCTCAATCCAGATGATTCTGATTTGACTGGATATAGATAATTAAGTTGTGGAATACTGATTTGTGGCTTTAAAGTTTGTTTAAATTATATGGATGAGGATGACAATTTCAAAACTCCTCTGTCTGTAAGGCTTATGGGTTTTATATTTATTTGCATCAGAAGATAATTTCCATTTGCAAACCCTCTTCAGTCAGGGGGCAGTGACTTGACTCAGACAGTTGTGGGTCACCCTCTTCCCTTTGCCTGGGCTGGGACTGGGTGGGGGAGGGGAGAAGTGGGGCAAGCGGTGACTCACTACACACTGCCTTTGTAAAGAAACGTTACACTTGGGGCGCCTGGGTGGCTCAGTCGTTAAGCGTCTGCCTTTGGCTCAGGTCATGATCCCAGAGTCCTGGGATCGAGTCCAGCATCGGGCTCC